CAGAGCAGTCAGTTGTATTCCTTATTAGTAGCTTTGATAAGAGGCTTTGGGGGCAGAGGTTGAGACTAATGGCTATAATGAAATTTTGGGGTTCTCTAAAGATTTATCTGTGCTGTGGGTCTCCCCATTAAATGCATATCTGTTCTGTGTACCTTTGCCCATGGTATGCATATCATAGTAACATCTATTACTGAAACCTTGCTGACTTCTTAAATGGGGTGGAAAAGACTGTGAAACTCACTCTTTGAGAACATAAAAATATGGATACGAAGGTCATAGCTCCAGGTACTGAATGAGACAGTGTTTTGGGAAAAACAAAACAAAACAAAACAGAAAACACAGAAAAACAAAATACTAGAGTAGAAAAGATATCCTGTAGTTTTCATTTGTGTTCATGTATATTTAGTAGAAATGTAATAGGTGTTAAGATTCTTTTTATCATACAATGTATTTTAACCTAGCATTTTAGAAACCTTTTGACAAAGTCATAGATAAAAGGCCATGTCAGAATGTTACTTTTCGTTTTCAGATGTCATGAACTGGAATTTTGCATAATTTTCCTGGGAAAAACTGTATTTCTTAAAAATTTAAAGCCTTTAATAAAACAAAAGGAAACCTCAAACTTTTCCTTGGTAGTCCTCATGCCCTTCTATGATTCTTAAGTATATGTTAACTAGTTTCAGATGTGTTTTGTTCTCTGACTCAAAATCAGCCCTTTATTTTAGAAAAAGAAATTGTGTAATTAGTACTTAATTGCTTTGGATATTTTGGGGCATTTAGAGGCGAGGGTAATTAAAAGTCCAGAGAAATTAAACTTTCACAGTGTTCTTTACGTGTGTGTAATTCCTTTTTAAAATCCCCTCCAAAGGCAGGCCTGGCAACTTAAAAATAAATGAAGACTTGGGTTGCTTTTAAAAATTTAACATCAGTTTTATCTGTGGATGCAGTTTCATTGATTTTTTTTTTAACTTCAGTTGGAGAGAGGGCCATTGTAATGCTAGAAATCAAGAGATTATCTAGTTCATGTCCTCTTTAGGCACACGTCACCTGAATAATATTGGACAGATAACCATCACCCCTCTTATGCTTCAAGATCCTCTAGGAGGAGAATAAGAATTTTTTCGCTACTTTATAAATGTCACGCGTGATCAAATTTAAATATTTGCCATAATTAAAAGTGGTATGTGGTCTGTTGGGACGCACTAGAATGTGGTTGATGTAGGCTCTTGTCTGTATCTTTAGCTATCCGAGAAGCCTAGGTCATGGTGAGTCACCTCACTCCTCTGGGCCACTTACGTGTAAGTTGGAATATTGGACTAGCGATCTCTAAGACTTTACAAGTTGAGAAATACTGTGTTTCATGAGTCACACACATTATCTAAAAATCGCACATTTTTGTGGATCTCGAGGCTAAGGGGTCTGCTTTTAAGCAAGAATATTCTGTTAATTTGGATAATGAACACTTGAACTGTGACATCAACAAGCTTAGTAGTTATGAAATATATTGGGTGTTTTTAACGTACACCTTAAATATGACCTTACTTCATATTTGCCATATTCACAGAGTAAGATGGTTATACAGGATTGGAGATTGAGTTCATATTGATCCCCAAGATTTTGGGAAGTTATACTAAAAGCGCTATTCTAAAACATTACTATTACTCTTTTTTTGTCCTTTCTAGCTAATATTCTTCTTCTTTTTTTCCTTAATTCTGATCCTTTTTTTTTTTTTTCTTAAAGAAAACATTAGGTTATTGAAACATCCAGTTTTCTACTTGGGAAGTTCAAAGAATCCTAAGTAACCATTTGGCTCCAATATGTACAAAGAGCTATAAAAACCTCAATGAAATGTATAATTCTCAAGGAAAATATAAATTGCAAAACTGACTGTTAGAAGAGACAAAAATCTAAACAGATTGGTAGCCATCAAAGAAATGGGAAAAGTAACCAAAGAGCTGCCCCACCAAAGTAGCGTTAGGCCCAGACTGTTGTTTGTGAGGAATTCTGCCCATACTTTAAGGAATGGATAATACCAATGTTATTTAATATATTGCAGATCAAAGAAAAAAAGTAGGAAAACTTCCCGTGAGTATTAAGGAAAGGGATGCAGTTCCTTCTTGGATGATTGAGATGAACCTCAGAGCAAACAGTTGGAACCAAGGATGAAAGATAGCAGTAAAAGATATCAAATAAAACCTTGAACTTTGGGCCACATTTGTTGTCCCTGTGCCTTGTTGATTAATGAGAAGTTAAATCAGGAAAGAAAATTATTAAGTCAGTCTAGGTAGGCTTTGTAGAAGGCATGGGTATCCTTTAAAATGCAGTTGTATTTTATTCAGTTAGCCATCTGAGCATTAAATACAAAGCATACGTTGGTGGTAAGAGGGGGGCAATGAATAGGTTTTAAAAAAAAGAAAAGAAAACATTAACTGTCTTCAGAGCAGATGCCTTGCACCCAGTATGTGGGAAACAGGGAGTAAGCACAGTAAGACAAGGGAATGGAGACAGAATGAACAGAAAGGAAGTAGTGTGGCCTGGTGACTGAGCCATAACCTCTAGATCATGGAGTTGGAACCCCAATAAGATGGTCGACCCAATTTTATATCCATACCCAGTGGTTTAGATAATGATGTTGTGGTAAGGAATCTTTCAAGGTCTGGGGGCCAGGAAAGGAGCATAATACATGGGCCAGGAAATCAGACCAGATGGATGGGGCTGAGCTTAAAAATACCCAGTGGGATGATCCATGATAGAAACTTCTCCTGGGGCCTAAACCAGGTGAGCAGGGTCCCCTGCTCATAATGCTACTCCCTATACTTGTGCTGTCATTTCCTCTAAACTTTGCCCACATTGTTCCCTCCTTCTCTTTTAGGAAATCTAGGATGAAAGTAACAGTGTGAAAGTTGAAACAGGGATGGCAAGGCAGTGAGAGTTTAGTAAATAAAAGAATGGGGAAGAGACCCACTACATAACATGGTACTTCAAATGTGTGGATTAACCTCTTAAATTTGTTTTTAAAAAAAATGTGATGTCACTAGTGGTGACACAGACTTCTAGAAGCTGTCCTTTGGGTACAGTTACTATTGGACCAACTTCAAACTGAGAGGGAGAGAGGAAGGGAGGGAGGGAGGGAGAGAGGGTGGAGTGAGAAAGTACATTGTTATGCTTGGGAAGTTCTCCACTGAAAGGTGGAAAGATTCCCCAGCCTCACCTGATGCTTTCTGCCCGAGTTTTGTTTTGTTTTCACATTAAGTGACAAAATTTAAGTTGTAGGTATTGTGTTGGTAATTTTGGTGCTGTGAACAGGAGTGTAACATCTGCTTTTAAAGGGGTTTTAGTATGTGCATTTGGATAGCTTGGTGACCTTTGAAATTTTGTTTTGAGCTGGGTCAGAAACATAATCATTTTTCTTTCTGAAACAGATTCGAACATCTGCAAAGGTTGATCAAGCTAGGATAGTTTTAGTAAATTATTAGTCTCTGTTTTTTAATGTCAACCCAGCTTTTAAAACTGTTGATCAGCTACGGGAAACATCAGCTCAAGGCGCTTGAGTTGCTTCTAATAAATGTCTTTTCCATTAAATATTCTCATTGTGGCCAATGTATTGAGAGGATAGAAATTTGTTCCAGTCTTGTTCATCTGCAGTCCAGTTTTCCAAATTCTTCTTGTTTTTAAAGTAAAATTACTTAAATTTGTATTTCCTTATCTCAATAGTTCAAATTTTTTATATTTCAAGGAGGGGAGATTGTTCTGAATTCTGGCATCAATCCTCCAAAGTCTGGATAAAGGACATCCACTTCTAACAAAATTTCACTTAAATATCTAGTTTAAATATGTCTTGTCATTAAAAGGTTATTTACGTTTAAAATGCTGACCTTTCAAGATGTACACAAGAGTGTTCTAAAACAGAGTTTCTGAACATTGGCCATGAAACCACTGTCTTGGGCTGACAAATGGATTGGAAATAAGCTACCCAACACTGGGAATGGGCCATTAATTTTAATCAAAGGTGATGCAGGAAGGCGAATGGGATGCATGACAATGTCAACAGCCCAGTAGGTGTTAAGAGACCACACAGCCTTCCTTGTTACTTGGTTGGGCCATTAGTTGAGGTTGGGTGAAGACAGAAAGCCATGTCTGGAATTGAATGACCAGGTCACTCCAAAATCTAATGGAGAACTCCTCATTTCAGAAATCACACTGTAATGCCATTAGAAGTCAAGGACAGCATTTAGAAAATATTGGAAGATTTTTTTTTTTAAACCAAGCATCCTTGCTAGTTTTTTCCAACTTTGTCAAGCTCCCTGTTTCCTGCCTCCTTTCCTTCTGAATGGATCATTGATATTTACAGAGGATCAGGAAATCGAACAGACTTAGAAAAAAATCTCAAAGCCTGTTTGCTTTTCAGAATTACATATTGTTAGTTGTAAAACTCTGGTAAATGCCAGAAACAATAGCATACCAAAGGAATTAAGCAGGGCAATTAATTCTCTGTAGTGATCTCGTTGTCCTTGTCCCTTTCTGTGTTCTTGTGTATAGGAATAGTTTTACTAATTGAAACTAAACTTTCTTAATTGCTTTAATGAAAACATTTGTTTTACAATTATACAGGCCACCGTGCTTGTGCCTCACTGTAAATTGTCAATATTGCCTGATAACATTAGTGATATTCACAGTGGTGAAAGCCTTTTCTTTTAATCAGTAAGTATATTTCGTTATTTTGAGTATTTTCAATTACAAAAAGGTAGCTTATGACAGCTTGAATTAATGATATTTATAATAAAGACATAAAAATGCAGAAGGGACAAAGAGGCATTTTTATATCTATGCTTCAGGTTTGTTAAGAAAGTTCATTTATTCTGACACAGCCTTGCATGCATAAGAAAGATATGTATGACTGCATTAGCAATTTTTACACATTTTTAGGAAAGAAAAGCAATTATATTGCTGTCTTGTTAATGGAACACTGTTATAAGTAATAGTATTTGTTCTTTCTGTAGATGAAGATCAGCTCCGTGCAAAGGGTTATGACAAAACACCAGACTTTATTTTACAAGTTCCAGTTGGTAAGTCCTTAAACTCTCTTATGCGTTTGTTTATAGTGAAAGGGGATGTGTTTTCTCCATAGATTTATTTTTTTTACTTTTTGTTAATATTAGCAAATGTTACCAGAGTAGATTAGCTTTAAATGGGTGAAATTGTTGGAAAAGATTATTTTAGAAGAGCAGAAAATAATTGGTTTGGAGGAAATCTCTGCCTTAAAAATGTTTACATATATTTAAGCAATAAACATGTCTTCTGAAAGCATTTTGGGTGCCATTTTCAGGTCATTTCTCTAAATTCTGAATTTTTAAACATGATTCCTTTGAAAAGCCAAACTGGCTCACTTGGGTTTGCTTTCACAGTACTTGTCCACTTACAGAGGCAGTGTCAGAATAGGAGGGGGACTTTTGAAAATGATGATGAAAATGAAGGGGATGTGATTATAGCATAAATGGTCTTTGTAAGGAATATGTACGATGCCTTGTTTTATAATTACTTCCGTTGATGACAGCAAGGGCCGAGCCTCTGCTCACTAATGTGAAGCACAGAGAGGCCTAGGCAGAGTTCAGTATTTCCAATCTTCCCTTTTCTTTGCTCTGTATTAGTAATGCTTTGTCCCTTAGCTGTAGAAGGGCACATAATTCACTGGATTGAAAGCAAAGCCTCATTTGGTGATGAATGTAGCCACCATGCCTACCTGCATGACCAGTTCTGGAGCTACTGGAATAGGTAAGGTCCCATTATTTTTCTCTTAAGATAAACGATACTCGGCTGAAATCTCATTAGAAAAAATATTTTGTTTAGCTGGTAAAAATGCTAGTAGCCTTTGTTTCTGGTAAATACAGAGACTTGATTAATGTATTCATTTCAGATAATTTAAACTTCTCTGCTTTCATAATGTTGCTTCATTTTTTAAAACTAACAGTCTCTGCATAAGGTCAAAATTAGTATATACTCCCCATTTTCCGTTTTACAGCAATAATATTGGTAGCACTTAAAATAGGAATAATAAGGCAGGGTGCCTATTGACACTAACTTTTTATCCTTTGGATGTAAAATTTAGCTTACTCTCAGACCTTTAAAAATATCATATCCTCAGCTCTCTGAGGAAAGTATCCAAGTGATATCAAAGTTCAAAACGATTTGCCTTCCAACAGAAAAACAGTTTACCTACCAACTTCAATCAACAGTCCTGACCGAAGGCGTGGAAATCTCATCAATTAAGGGAAAGGGTTGGAGGGGAGGATGCTTTATTATCAAATTCCTGGGCCTGGGCCTTCATATTCTCTCAGCTAATCCTCACAAGGAAGTTACTTTTCCCCCCATTTTACAGATAACGGAGTCTCAGAGAGAAAATAATAATGCCATACAGTTGGTCGTCATGCATTTCTCTTTCTCGCTCCCAAACCCGTGCCCTTTCCAGTACATCTCTGTTGTCATTTATAGTACAACTGTTGAAATTTTGTCTTTTACTATTATTGAAGTGCCACATTTTCACACCGCGCATTTTTTCCCCTTAGAATAGGAGGTAGGGCAAGGGGTAACCTTTCTAGATTAACTGTGTTCCTCAGTCACTGGCCAACAGTAAGAATACAATAATAAGATGACATGGGCCCAGATCATTAAGGAATGAGACAGTAGCATCTGTGCACAATAGTCTCATCCTGGGGAAAAACAAAACAAAACAAAAAAACAGTGACAGGCTACAGAATTTGGTATTATATTGTTACTCAGCTTTACAAAAGGCCAGCAGACCTCGTCCGTAGCAGCTGTGCTAAACTAAGCCCACTTTTTGCCATGGTAACAATGATCATGACAAAATGCTGAATGTAATGGCTCTCTTGATTTTCTTGTGTAATTGTGCGTAGCATCCGAGCTTTACTTTACAGGGATGGAGGAGAAAAGTGCAAAATGTTTTAGAAATCAATGCTGCTTCAGCATTCCCTATCTTTTACTCAGCCATTATTCAAATTAGCAGTAATGTGGCAAATTGAATTTTAGATTTTTAGCAATTTTTTGAGTTTGAAATAGTAAAGAAAGCATCATCTTTGGTAGTATAGGGAAAGCAATGACAAGAAAATCAAATTGTGTAAGTTTAGGTTGCTAAAGCATTTTTAACTCCACCAGAAAACAAAACCATTATGCACTGAGACGGTGCCCCCACTTTGGTACTGGTCAAGTCTTTTATGTGGAACAATTACAAATTGAATTCCAAAGAGTAGCGCTTACTTGAAAATCCCGTATTTTTTTCCTAAAACAAGTGACCTGTTTATTGAGTGCCTACTATGTGCCTAACACTCACTATTTTAGAGGTTGAATAAATACTCTGGTCAGTAATCGGACCCCCATGCATTATTGACCCAGCTGGAGGGGATCTGAGCTATGGATAATCTAATACGGTTTCCTTTGGACTGGAATTTAGATTATTTTGTTGTGTGCTACTTTTTCTGTTCTCATGATGTTTTACTTACATGGCTATTGGTTTACATTCCCTAAACATGTTCTTTGAATATGTACCAGCTCTTGGGCATGATTCATTCAGGGCATATTACGCGATAAGGGAAAGTCAGCCTTGATTTTGAATGTTCCAGATCATCCAAGGAGGAAATACTCTACACAGAATTCAGTAGTTTTACCAGATGTCTGCAGAGAGGCCAAGAAATGGAAGTAGTGGTAATATTCAAAATGGAACATAGAAGCATTTACTTGGATATATAATTTTGATTATAACAGTGATACGGACTTACCAGTGATAGGACCAAAATAGGATTTTGACAGGAGAACTTAGCCTATTTATGAAAATACGGTATCCTACTCTTCATATTTTGCCTCAACACAACTCACATAGTAGTTGCTGAAATTGTTGAGAGTGGAGGAAATCATCTCTCCCACCTGTAGGTAGCCTTTCAAGGAGGCTATTGACTGGTTGGCATTTGGGCTAATTGCTTTATTTGTGTGATGAGCCTCTAGTTAACATAAACACTGTTATCAAATTGTCACACTATTTTTAGATTAAATGTTGGATTTTACAATAAGACTGTTCAGTGAATACTTGTAGAATCATGACCTTGTATAAACCCATTATCTCACATAAATAACTACAGAGCCCTTAATTTTTAGTTTAATGTTTCCACAAGAGTTTTCTTTTTTTGTGCAAGTGGATATTCTTATTCATCCTTTCAGCAACTTTGACAAAGTTGATAATACCGTACCTCTTTATTAAAACATCTTTTCTTGACTTCCGAGAGCTACTCTTCTGGGTTGCTTCCTGCCATCCCAGCAGCATACTCAGTTTGCTTTGCTGGCTTTTCCTCCTCCCAGCCCTCCACTGGAGCTGGGCCCTGGAACTCAGTGCTCAGCACTCTGCCCTTTGCTATCTACATTCACTTCTGGGGTTCTCTCTTGGAGCTTTCATCGGAGACTATGGTTTTATATACCGTATCTGTAACAGTATCTCCTAATTCTTGCTGCCAGTCCTAATATTTCCGCTGAGTACAAATTTGTTTGTTTATCCAACTGTCCACTCAGTATCTCCTCTTGGCTATCCAGTAGGAATCTGAGACCTAACATGTCTAACATTAAACCCTCGATTTTCCTCCCCAGGCTTGTGGCTCCCCCGATTCGTCCCACGCTCAACTAATGGTGTCACAATTTGCCCAAATACCCAAGCCAAAAACCCAGCCCATCACCAGCCTACCAGAAAATCCTTTCGGCTCCATCTTCATCACATCTCAAACCATGCCTCAGGATCACCTTCTTACCTGGCATCACCTCACTATCTGTCATCATCTCTCGAACTGTTGCTGTAGCTTCCGAACTGGTCTCCAGACCTTAACCTTTACACTCCTGTGGTCCGTTTTTCATACCCTGGCCGGAGCGACTCTGGGAAAATACAAATCAGATTGTATCGCTTCCTGCTCAAAACTCCTCAGTGGCTTCCCATCACATTTCAAATAAAATCCCAACTCTTTCACATGACATTCAGAGCCCTGCATGATCTGGCTCTCTACCATCCCCGGTTATTTGCACACCTGCCTCTCTCTCTTTCTCTCTCTCTGTACCCAACTAAGGCTCCCTCCCTCTCTTATACCTCTGCAGTCGCACTGGCTTTCTGGGCCTTCCTAAAATCTACACTGCGTATTTCTACTTCAGAACTCTTACTCTGGCTAATTCTTCTGCTTGGAGTTTTCTTCCCATTTGGATCTCCACATGGTGAGCTCCTCACATCATTCAGGTGTCTGCTCCAATTCCCCTCCTCAGGGATACTTTCCATGAGCACTCAATCTAAATGACCTCACCCCAGTCATCTCTCCCTCCTCACTTGGTTGGACTTTTCTTCATAATATTTATCCCTATCTGAGTGAAAAAAATAACATTTATATAAGCATCAATTTGTTTGAATACGAGCCTTTATTCAAGAGCTTTACCTTTTATATTGCTGTTGTTAATTACTGTATGTAGTGTGCCCTTCATTCCTTTGTAATCAAAGCTTCAAGAATTTTCCCTGGCTTAATTAACATCAGAAAAATTGAAATTTTGCAATGCCATCACCTTCCCTAAAGTCAAAGACATTGAGTACCGAAAATAAGCTGCCTTTCCTGTGAGCAGGCCTCTGTCCCGGGTATGAACTTTGATCAAGTAGCTCCTCAAAACTCTACAGTCTCTACTTCCGTGGAGTTAAAGGAAATAAAGAGTACCTCTGAGAAGCAGCATTTGGACCATAATATAGCCCCAGATTATATAAGGCTATATATATGATTGTAAAGAAAATACATACACATTTACATATATATGTATTTATATATCCCATATACATAGCTCTATGAATACAAATTGTATAAAAACCATATTTCCTTGTGCAATTAACACCCCAGAAGCCTTCTCATTCTACTTCTGTAATCAAAAACTGAGTTCTTCCACAATTTGACCTATATTACTAAGTATATTTTCACATCTGATGGTGACAGTTAAAAAAAAAAAAAGCAATTCTATAATCTGAAGCCAAATTACATACATGGGTTCTGTACATACATGTGGCCTTTCAGAGAAGTAGGAACAGACACCCTGTGCTCACTTTCAGTGCTTGGAGATAAGACGTAGGTCCATCTGAAGGAAAATATTAAGCGACCCTAAAGAGCAAAGCCTCACAAGCCGCGAGGCAGCACGTGCACTGTGCCCGACATCTACCAATCAAGAACGTGGAAATCTCAGCTGCAGGTTCAGCCTTGCCACCTACCATTCTGGGCGCACACTGGCCCCCATGAGAAACCGAAGGGCACTTTGTAGATACACCTCTTCATTTCTCTCAGAGAGGATTGACACTGGCTGACTGGCAAGCACCAGGCCGAGTTTTGTTTCAACATGCTTTCCCAGCTTAGAGATCCTTGAAACGATGGAGGGAATCTCTCCTGCTCTTGGGTTTGAATCCAGGCCATGCCACTTTCCAGTCCTGTAACTAGGAACAACTTGCTTAACCTCCCTGGTCTTCGTTTTCTCCTATAAAATAGTGTCAGTAATACCTTCTTGACCACGTGGTCATGAAGATCGGTTATTTAATAGGCGTAGAGCACTTCAGAAGCGCGTGGCAGTCGACAACAGATATTAATTCCCGTGCGTCTCTCTCTCTCCTGCATATCCCTGTCTGGTAGAATTTAGAAGTCTTCTGAGTTGACATTTTTATTTACCTTCTTTGCCAGACAAACTCCTCCTGGACTACTCAGCTTGGCTGA